CTGATTGGTTTGAACTTGACTCCAAAGGTCAAAGGTACCAGGAGATCACAGGTTCAAATTCAAGAAGGAATAAAAATCCTCTTGTGACCACGGAGGTTCAAATGCGGTGACTTCGGGCTATCTGCAAAGCAGGTGGTCGCCCTGGGATTAGTCGGCTCGCATAGCGGGTTGGATATCCAGGTTAATAAAATATATATATATATATATATATATATATATTGTGAATGTTCTAACCCTTGTTTTGTTTTGTTTTGTGGTTGTCTCCCCGACATCTATTGTGATCTGTTACAACCCAAAAAATGGACCAATTGCAAAGTATGTAATTAACAATGGCCAAAGTGGGACAACGTCTTAGTCCAGACATCGATTAGAAGTGGTTTCAGTCAAAATCGTACCAAACAATCATGAATGGTGATATATTTGAGTTTTGGTGTTTATTCTAATTAGTGAACTATGGGTTTAAGCTCAAGCACAACCAAAAAGAAATGAGTAAAATGGTGGAGTTAGAAATACTTGACACTGATATAACGTTGTGCAGATAACTTTGGCTATGTCCACATCGATACACCAGTTGAGATCGGTCCACTTAAAGTGTTATGTCTAAATGAAAAAGCAGAATCGTCAGCTTATTACACTTCTCAATCGTTGGTTATGGTTTACAGTGGATCACTCATGCCACTTGCAATTTGAGGAATATTAAGTGGAAACTAAAATGACGTATAAATATCTTTCTGAATTGACTTAAGATTCTTGCAAGAATTGAAGAATAGAGGGATTTCATGATTGAGTAAAATTCATTTGAAGGGTTCTTGCCTTCTTGGAACGATGACAAAACTCTTAACTTATAGTCATAATAATCCAAGAAAAATGAAAGTTGTGAACACCCGCAACCACGAACGTCCATGATGTATGTTGTCTAAAAACATTGATTTTTTCCCTTCGAGGAATGTTGAAGTCCTGCATCGACTTAGACTTGAACCATTGCTCATGAATATATGTTGGAACCTCCATTCCTCCTCAATTGATCTTTTGGAGACTAAATATGGAGGTTCCATATATTTTCACATGGTATCAGTAGAAGGGGTGTGTTGGAATCCTACATCAACTATACTTGTACCATTTATCATGTATATATGTTGGAACCTCCCAATGCTGCTCAAAGGCTAGTTTCGAGAGTAAATACGAGGGTTCCTGTTGGGTCACCGATAATTTGTTGATGATCTCTCAATCTACCTTTAATCAATCTTTGTACGTTTAGTGGTTCTTTGTAAAAGTTTGGTCGTGCTTAACAAGTTCGGCAAATCGAAGACTGACCGATTTCCAAGGAAGTGTCTGCTGATGTGGAACAGAAGACGCAACTCCCGATTTATACCAAACTTTTGTCCCTACCTCCTTTGTTGATTTCCTCAGCTAACGATCTTCCCACTTGTTAACCAATATTCGGCATCATGTGTACAATGACAAAGACTTCTTCATAGGAAAATTTCACGTCCGATTTTGAGGGGGGGGAGATCCTATCCCAATTCCTGTTGTGTCCTAAGTCAACTCTATCCTCTTATCCCCTCTTGACAAGTATCCTTGTGCATTTAATGCATAAAGGAGTATAAAAGAAAGAGCGCCTGGTCCATGCAAGGTTACACTTTCAAAAAGATTTCTACGTGAATAAGTAGTATCCGCAGCAATTCAAGTGCAACATAACTTCTATATGTTTATAGTCGTGTTCTAGTTTTCTAAGAGCAAGATTGTTAGAACTGATTTACAAATCTTTTCTATTCCGTAAACAATCGTGTCTTCTTAGTGTAATTATTGAATATACATACATATATATGGTGTAATTGTATTCAACATCCCCCCTTACAATTACTTGTGTTCTGCCATTCTCAAATGGGACTATCAGTTCCACATATTCTCACAAAAAAAATCAGATTCCCAAAAATAAAATACTGATATTTTTATGGTTTTACAACTTTCATGAAAATAGAAATGTCATGTTGTACCACTTGGAAAACAATTATTTGTCTTTGACCTAATTTGTTTGAATTCAAAAATCTTTTACTAAAAATAGTAAATATTTAATTGTACCATTTTGTAGTTTTGTTACTGAAATCATTTCTAATTATTTTAAAAGTTAGAATTCATTTGGGTTTTCGTTCCTTTAGCATAATCCGTTAAAAAAGACTGTTGAATTTAGGGGCATTTTGGTCTTTTTTACATTTTCTCTCATTTCATATCACAAAATTCAACTACCCCTAAATAACCCCCTTCCACCCCTCTCATACGTGATCTCGATCTCCGTCTCTTGCACCCTCATCACAACCATCGTAACCCCTTTCCCAGCCACTCATCCACCACTATCATCAGCGCTCCTTACTGACATCGATAAAGATTTAGACAGTCAATAAAATATGGATTATTAGATTCATTGAAAGGTTCTTGAGAAACACAATTTTACCAGGTGAGACTCTCTCGATTCCTTAACGTCCTTATTGAAAAAAACACGAGTTTTGATGTTCTTCTTGAGAAATATTAATTTCGTTCTCGATTTCTTTGGTTGCTGGGAAAAGACGACTTCTAAGGGTTCTTGAGAAATCTTCATCTCGATTTCTTAGGTTCAGGGAAAACACAAAGAACATATTCACACAGGTTCATCTGGTGATATCTCTAGACTACAACACACATCACAAACACACAATTGAAGGAAGATTTTCACATACTAGATTAAAAAACAATAAAAAGTTGTGGACTAACTGATTTATAATGGTTTGTTGGTGTATATAAGATATGAACAAACCGATCTAGGAGCTACACTTCCGAGTTACAACTGCAGAACCATATTGAAGTACAGGTTCCGCATGTAACAAAGCTGGTTAAAACGATGAAAACCAGTCCAAATTGCGAATTTTAAGGGACAAAGCCCGTACTTGCAAACTTATAGGACGAAAGTAGCAATTCTTAACAAACCACACGGACCAAAAAAACGTATTTTAGGGCCTTATTTATTTTGGGCTTTTAGAAAAAAGGTGGTTATTTGTTTGGTAAGTTGGATTGGGCTAAATTTAAAAAGCCCAATGGACTGATTAGTTAGACCAAAAGCATGTTCATGGGCGGCCCAAGCCCAATTCATATTTTTCTATTTAAAAAATATTAAAAAATATTTTTTTTAAAATTTAAAATTGTTTTTAAAGTAAACAACAAAATTGGTCCCTGTAGTTTGTCAAAAATAACACTTTCATACCTTTAGTTTCAAATTTATTAGATAATCATTGTGGTCTGTAAAAACGTCTGGATTTGATAAATATCATTAACGGTCGTTGAAGATTATGTTGGGAGGGGGCGGGGAAGGGGGGGGGGGTGTAATTTTCATCGTTTTATATGTTTTTTTTTGTCATTACCCAATCAAAATCTATTTTACGGTTTTGGTCCTTGTGGTTTTCATTGGTAAAAGACAAAAAAAAAAAAAACAATAAAAAGATGAATATAATCCTCATTTAACGGACTTTTTTGACATCTAATAAAGGGAGGGACTAAATTCAGACGTTTTTGTAAACCATAATTACCAGCTTGTGATTTCAAAACAGTTGAAACAAACTTTTTTAAAATAACATAGCTGTTAAAAGATACTGCAAATTGTAATTTAAAATCTTTACTTTTGGTAGCAGATAAAATCGATGTGTTTTTGATCCAAATGGAACGCCAGACTTGTTAATTAAAAACGAGAACGCTTTTTCCATCATTTGATGACGTGTAACGCGATGTCATCCTCATACCGTATCTTCATTTTGACTTCTTTTTATATCAGTTTCGATTTGAAGCCTCTTCAATTGATTAATATATCTCCAATAAATTGTTTTTAGAAATTTCAACACTCATTATATTATTAAAATATTTTATAAATTTATTATTTAATTAAATTTGGTAATTTTTTTATGTTTTTATTGAAGTATATAATATTTATATACGGCAAATGCAACAAATAAACTCACACACCCTCCTCATCTATGGTAATGTTTGAACCTCTGACCTTCTAGAAGGCTAAGAGCTACGATACCGTTAGGCCAAATGCCCTTTGGTTATTTATGAATAAATAATCGAGTATCTCACGAGCTTTTCGAGTCGAGTAGCTTGACTCGACTCGTTAATATATCGAGTCGAGTCGAGCCGAGCCTATTCGAGTCAAGTGTTGATCGAGTCGATCTCAAATAGCTTGCGAGTTATCTTTTATCATTTACACCCTTTATTAAAAAATACCCATAATACAAAATCATTCAAAATATAAGAACTGAAAATGTAATTTTCTCTACTGCAAATATCTCTTTCTTCTCTTTTCCCCTTCCTCCCTCCACATTACCCAGACCCTCTGCTTTTCATGCGAAACGCACGTTTCCCATCCTTCACACATAAACTCTCTCTCTCTCTCTCTCTCTCTCTCTATATATATATATATATATATATATATATATCTTCTCTCTCATCTTGATTTATTGGTTGGCCTCGATAATCCCCCTGTCGTCTCCTGTTTTCTTGAAAAAGGTTAATAAAAGACCCCCCCCCCCTGTTCTTTTCTCCGATACATACATGAATTGTATCTAATATACATGAATTATCAAGAGAAAACACCACTCTGTTCACTTTCTTTCATACTTTTAGGGTTCTTCATCTCTTCTTCTTCCTTCACATCACTCCAATTTCTTTCCCCCATTGCCTCTGCATGTCATATTTGTGATTTGGGTCATACCCTTTTCACCATTTCTCAACTCATTTCATGTTTCCCACCCAATTTCTCATCTGGGTGTCACCTGTTTTCCCATTCATCAGTCTCATAGCAGATACCCATCTCAGGGTAATTCTTGATAATTGGTATTTTTTCTTAAGGATCTTGCAAGAAATCTTGTGATTCCATTTGAAGTAAGCTGGAATTGGTGTGGTCACATATGGGGTTGGGTTATGGTCTGAATTCATAGGGGTTTAATGGTCTGAATTGATAGGGGTTTAATGGTCTGAATTTAGGGTTTCATTTGGAACAAAAATGGGGTTGGATAAGAAGAAAGAAGATGAGATTGAGATAAGAGGATGTTGGATTAAGTTCAGCTTCTTGGGGAGATGCATATCCACAAGGTCTAAAGTGGAGAGCTCCATTTGTGGAAGTAGTATTCCATATGGTAATTTTTCATTTTATGCCCAAATTGACTTCAATTTGCTTCAATTATGCATGATTTGTTTCTATTTTAGGTGCATCTTGTTGTGTGGGTTATTATACAACCATTTACATTTGTACAATCAATACAACTCAATCTCAACCATCCATTTAATTYGATGAATATGTAATTTCATAGAAGTTTTGATTGTTTCCTAATATAAAGTATTGATCATAATTAATGAACCTTATTCGTCTTCCATAATTATTTAAATCATAATAAATGAACTCTCATCATTTCCATAAATATTTCAATTTATTGGGTTGCATTGGTTCTACAAATGTGACGGGTTGCATTTGAAACAATCTCTCTCTCTATATATATATATCCCATTTGTGGATTTCAATTGTTATCTTCCCCATTCATTGGTTTCCATCTTGAAGAGAAATGATCCATTCTTTTAAATGGTGGAATTCAATGTGTGTTATTGAAGTGTATATTATAAGATATAATGGTTTAACTTTTTCAAAAACTTTTTATTACCGGTTTGACATCCGTATAAGCTATTTATCCATACATTCAAAAGTGCTTATTACCGGTGTCACATCGGAATAAGTCAATAAGTTGTTTTTATCAGCAATCCCAAACACCCAAAGTGCATCTTTTTGGTGTGTTGTTGATGGTGTCATCTAGTTGTTTATAAAGTAACAATGTTTGGTAGGGGTGTATTTAGCAATGTATATGATGCATTTAGCCTGAGCCCTTTTTTGTCCGAGTAAAATAAGTGGGACAAAAAGTCAGGAGATAAGATAAGATTGGTAAATTACTGAATTACCCATGTTGAAATAAAACCCTAAAGCCTTCCGTAATCATTTCACTTGTCTACCTCACTCTTGTTTTCCAACAAGCTTACAAGCATTCTTGTGTACAAAAGTGACATTCTTTAGTTATGCAGTATAACATTCTCAAATCTGTCAGAAGGTCATCGATCTAAAAGAAACTTGCCAGAAGGTCATTTGACCAAAATACCCCTTTTCTAACGCGTATCGAGTTCTTTTAATTGAATCTAATGCTTATCGTAAATATAATTGATGATAACTAATTTTTTGCTTATTATTTAAACCAGCGGAAAGTAAGTCTACGAACGATACTAGTTTAGACCAACCGGTCGTTTTAGCGGCTTCATCTAGCAACGGGGAAAGCACCCCATCGACACCAAACGTAACCGAGGAGCTGAACATCGCTTCTCAGCTTCGGAAGTTTAATTTCAACGAACTTAAGTCGGCAACAAGGAGCTTTAGACCCGAGAGTCTTCTTGGTGAGGGTGGATTTGGGTGCGTTTTCAAAGGATGGATTAACGAGAACGGAACTATGCCTGTGAAGCCCGGAACGGGTTTATCTGTTGCCGTCAAGACCCTCAATCACGATGGACTACAGGGTCACAAAGAATGGCTCGTATGCGTCTTTTTATACTTTTGCTCTTACGAAAAGGCAAAATGCATCAAAAAATGCAACTAAATTTGGTTTATTTGCTATTTTGTATCTATTTTTTAACAGGTAACATGTTGATCTTGTAACATTTGATGACGTGGATACTTGTTTATGACGAAGTGGACATTAAACTTGACATCTGTGTCATCAAATGTTACAAGATCAGCAGATTACCTGTCAAAATGAGGAACTAACCCAAACTTCATTTCATTTCGATGAATTTTGCTTTTTGTGTAAATTATATATTTCTTTTCTTACGTATCGATGGAGTTTTCGTGATATTGATATTGTGGCAGGCCGAAGTTAATTTTCTTGGCGATCTCTTGCATCCGAATCTCGTTAAATTGATCGGTTATTGCATCGAGGGTGACCAAAGATTGCTTGTTTACGAGTTTATGCCTCGAGGAAGCCTCGAAAATCATCTATTTAGAAGTACGTTCGTTTGATGTTGTTGACTTTCAAATTTTAACATATATGTTTATTCTCGTTTTCACACTTTTCACTAGCCAGGGGTCGTCATTGAAACAAACGCTCTACTCTGTAGCGCAGAGGTCACATTTGCGTACATCTTACTCGTCCTAGTCTAGTAGACCCCACAAAACCGCTCTACTCTTTAGCGTAGAGGTCAGGTCAACATACGTTTTATCCCCTAGATTCACCACTTAGGATGCGTTTGGAACACTGGACAGGACATAACAGATATCAGTGTTCCACATTTAGCAATCTTTTTAGTGGAACAAACATGAACAGAGTGGAACAGGCGTGTTCCATCCCCACCACCCAATGGAACAAGGTGGAATATACCTATATTTTATTATAATTTAATAGATTATATATATTAATCAAAGTAAATAAACAACTCATTAGGGGTATATTAGTCATTTTATTTTTATCAGTTTTGTCTTGCCAAACGCTGAACAACTGTTTTGTCTTGTTTTGTCCAGTTTGGATGCCAAACATACCCTTTAATGCGAGCATGCTTGTATGCTAGGCTCATTTGGTTTGGTTTTAGTTCGAAGGAGAATTTATTGAGCGTAAACTATCTTTACAGGGTCGTTGCCCCTACCGTGGGAGACTAGAATGAAAATCGCTCTCGGTGCCGCGAAGGGTCTTGCTTTTCTTCACGAGGAAGCCGAAAGACCCGTCATTTATCGGGATTTTAAGACGTCAAATATTTTACTAGATGTGGTTTGTGGCTCTTGACCTTTGACTTTTACGTTCATGATATTTGTCCCTAAAATGAATAACGATGAAAATCATATTGTATCGATTCTTGTTTTAGGATTACAATGTGAAGCTCTCTGATTTCGGACTCGCTAAAGACGGTCCGGAAGGGGATAATACCCACGTATCGACTCGTGTGATGGGAACTTATGGCTATGCCGCCCCCGAGTACGTAATGACGGGTATGTTCGTCTTTTTAACTTATAGTGCACCGGTATCTATGTCATCATATTTTACTAGATCAGCATGTTACGAGTCAAAACCAGTACAAATTACGGAATTTTGAAACTCTGTTACATCGATTGAGAAAAAGAATTATTCGCTGAACTAAATAGGAATTATATTCTTGTTGCGTTCCGTATCTAACGAGTTCCATAAATGCCAGGACACTTGACGTCGAAGAGTGACGTATACAGTTTCGGAGTCGTTTTACTCGAGATGATAACCGGACGAAGATCCATGGATAAAAACCGACCCAATGGGGAACATAATCTCGTAGAATGGGCACGACCACATCTCGGGGAGCGGCGGAGGTTCTACCATTTGATTGATCCGCTACTTGAAGGTCGGTTCTCGGTAAGAGGTGCACAGAAAGCGGCTCAACTGGCTACGCTTTGCCTTAACCGTGACCCGAAGGCTCGACCATTAATGAGCGATGTTTATGAAGCCTTAATGCCGCTTGTGAACTTGAAAGACATGGCGTGTTCATCGGCTTATTTTCAGGCGATGCAGGCTGAGCGTTCGACCCCGAATCAAAGTAGTAGAAATGGGCGGTCAATGAGGAGTCTTTCGATTCCGAGCTATCCATATGTGTCGCCACATCGCAATGATGGACCTTACAGGTCTCCCAAACCTGTGAGATAACCAGACGAATGATTACTCATTCGTTTCATCATAATCAGACGAATGATCGATCATTCGTCTCTTCATAATCAGACGAATGATCAATCATTCAGCTGGTTATTGTTTGATGGTCCTTTTGGGACCATCAAAAACTGGTATTGTTTTGTAAAAGTTAAATATAAAGCATATATAGGTGAACTTTGTCTTTGGCTGGTCACCATTTATAAATAAATAAAATATTCGGAAAAATGATAAAAAAAACTTCACAACATTATTTGAAATTTCACAACAAAATGTTATAATGGTAAAAAAAACCCAAACTCTCATAGGAAAAATGATGTGAAAGTTACTTTCATAGCGTTTTGCTATAAAATTTCAAGTGTTAAAAAGTTGTCTCATGGGTTTTACAAAAGCAGGTTGGTCTCACATGATCTCAAGTCTCGATGATGGTTCAAGTATAATTGGATATCCAATTGTAATTGGATCAAATCGGATCTAAAATTTCAACATCTAAATTGGACTGGTCGGTTTTTTATGACAATCTAAGATCCAATAAGACCGAGTCGATTCGCCGATCATCTGATTATTAACTATGTATAATTATTAACATTATTTGTTAGTTAATATTTATACGTATTGGTTATTAATAAATTAAGAAAATGTATAAATAATTAGTTGAAACAGTTATTAATTGGTTGAAAACTGTATCAAATTACATTATATGAAACCAATTCGATCATCGGATTAAATTGGATTAAATCGAATGTCTAATGCTACTTGGATGTCCATTGAATGATTGGATCGGATCAGATCCATATTAATTCATTAGATTTCAACCGATGAAAAGGAGGCACGCATGTGCATAGAGATGGCCAAAAGTCAGTTCCGGACCAAGAATTGCATTTCGTAACTATTCCCAACCAAAAACCCATGGCCCAGCCTATGTGTTCTGTAAATGGTCCCGGGCCCGGGCCCGGGCCCAGGCCAAGCTCAAACCGATCCCATTTTTTTTCTTTCAAAAATCAATTTTTAACGTAAAAGATCGAGTTTGAAAACTTTTTTTTGGATGATATATCATTAAAATACATTTTAAAATCTTTAATTGGATCATTCAAATACACTTTGAAAATATTTTTTACATAAAAATATTTTAGATGTTTTTATAATTACAATTTTCAAGATTTAGCATCGAAACAACTGGAAAAACTTGTTTTTATTTTAAAGTTTTTGGTAAAAAAAACTTGATATATAATTTATAATAACTTATTTTTCAAAATAGATCGGGTCTATGTATAGGTCCCAGTCCCATCCCCATAACTGGTCTTCGACTAGCGCGAGCCATGTGTTTTCCAGAAAAATGCCGGACCGATCCCGGTCAGGCCCAATCCCAAATCGGTCCTAAGCCAGATCAGGCCCATTGGGCCATTTCTACATGAGCATATGATATCCAATATCCAAGTACATTGAAAGTTTGAAACACATAAAATGATCTTGAAATAAATAGGTCCAAAACAATGTGGGGATCATCATTGTACGTTTTAACGGGTAATCTGTTGATTTTGTAACATTTGGGCCGGGTCGAACCATGGATTTTCCAAAAAAATGCCGGACCGATCCCGGTCAGGCCCAATCCCAAATCGGTCCTAGGCCAGATCAGGCCCATTGGGCCATCTCTACGATGAGCATATGATATCCAATATCCAAACCAAATACATTGAAACACACAAAATGATGTTAAAATAAATAGGTCCAAAAACAATGTGGGGCCCATCACTGTACATTGGCTAATAATAACACCACCCAAAAGCCTGAAAGGAATATAATAAGCATAAAACAAAGAAGCAGTTTACATGATCATCTCTTCCACCCCATTTGGACCACTTTATCTGAAATCACAACTATTTATCAGTCTTCAATGTTGTCACCAGATTCAACAACTACAGAGTTTTAACATTAAAAGAAAACAAAAGAAAGGAAGGAATTTATATTTGTGTTTCCGAAATTACAAATTGTATAAAAAAGTAACGTACTTTAACTTGATTTCTATTTTAGGTAATGTACTTCTAAAACTTTCATTTTGATATCTAAGATGTAAAGTTTAAAACATTTAAGTATCCGGTTGAAGCATTAACCGGTTATCTATCATGCTGATGTGGTGAGTGATTTGGTATCCAACTCAGTATCATTTGCTAACGTGGTTAATGACATGGATTTTTTTTAATCTAAGATTAGTCTTCAACCGGTTACCTGGATAATTATGTGTTGAAAACTTTACATCTTAGGTACCAAAATGGAAGTGTGAAAGTACGTTACCCAAAATAGGAATCAAGTTAAAGTACGTTACTTTTTTAGGCAAAGGCTTGGAAAAGTGAGGAAATGAAAATAAGGAAAATAATTTTTTCATGTTCTTGAACGGGAGAGAAAGGTAAGAAAAATGTTATTTTAAAAATATATTTTTAGGGTAGTTTTGTAATTTTAGTAATCTTTTCAAAAGGGTTTTAATTTCTTTCTTATCCTCCCACGTTTGGAAGAAAAGTTTTGGGAGAAAACTTGTACCCTAAAATAGATGTCAACAATGAAAAAAAAGGTACACAGTTTTAGAAAAATGTAATTATTAACTCATTACATTTTTTAATTAACTAAATGACAAGTTTACTCTTAACAATAGATGGAGTAATAAATTTCTTCGTATCATGATGAAGGGTAGAATTGGTAGATAGATACTTGCTTTTGAAAACCGACACTTTCTACTGCATTCTTGAAAGCTTTTCGTTTAAAGAAAAGAAAGGAAATGGAGGGTAAAAATGAGAAAACAGAAAAACCATGTGTTCTTTAAACTTTTTAGGAGCGAAAAGAAAGGAATACAAGAGAAAATATCATTTATGTTTCCTCCTAAATGTGAGAAGAAAAGAAGGGAAAGAAAATCCGAAAGAAGTTAAATATTTTTTATGACAAAAATACCCTCATAATGAAAAGTCAAAAAAAACAAATATAAATAGTATATTTATGAAAATGTTTTAAGTATAGGGGTTGGGTTCCGGTCAGAAGGAGAGTTAAAGTAAGAAGCGTAAGAAGAGATCTCTACACTTGGAGCACCGGGATGCTAACAGATTAATCTCCGTATCAAGCACGATTTATAGGTGGGTTTGAGATTTAAGGTGATCAAGAGTCTAGATCCCTTCTTATGTTTCTCACTTTAACTCTCCTTCTCATATGATCCAATGCCTTGAGTATATAGTAACCTCCTAATATATTAAAAGAAAATTGGCTTCATACTGGTCGGAAGGTCATGGACTTAACTAACATATCATTTAAGATTATATACCTAAAAGTGAGCTTAATGGGAAAACATCTAAAAAATGAAAAAACTGAGTGAACACCGTAATAACCATTCATGTACGGTATACACATACGCATACAAGGAATTGAAGATGTTTTGTGGTTTCTATGCACGTGTGCATATTGGACAAATTCCTTATATGCACATGTATACTGTACGTATGATTGGTTATTAGATTGTTCCTCAGTAAATTATAGCATAATAAACGAATATAGATTTACTTACCGTCTCTAGTGAATATTTGCGGTTTGTTACTTTTAGTCCATCCTTTGCCGTTGGCTTGTAACGGCTTCTGAACCCGCGGTGACTGCAAGCTCGGTTTTCCGGTGGTGGATGATGGCAGCGAATGCCGCCTGATGAAACCATTTTCACCACCATCTTCTGCAGCCTTAGCCACGGCTTGAGCTCTAAGCTTAGCCTTAGCCGATTCAGTCGCAGCCATATAGCTCGGCAAAGCCGCTGTGTTCGGCAAGCCACTCTCACCATACTCTTGTTTTGCTGGAAAAGACTTTCTTCTCCTTGTTTTCTGGTTTTCTTTGCTACAATTATTTTCCGAGCCGTTTAACTCCACATTCCCATTGGTTTCTCCAGCCAGTGGCTCAACCGCCTGATGATCATCTTGCAAACCATCCTGCGGTTTAGCCTCTAGAGGTGGAACCGGAAGTGGTTCAGGCTCGGGTTCAGGTGGTTCGGTTATTACATCATTTAGTTCCACAAACGGCTGAACCGAACCCTGTGCAGAAGTATCGGGATTTGGGGAGTCTGACACATGATCCAAAACGATTGGCAGTTTTTCGGTTGGAACTTCAGACTTTTCGGAAGTCAATATGGAAATCTTCCGTAGATTGCGTTTCACCTTTTCGAGTTCATTATGAGAATGCTCCTGCACTGATTCCGGTTGGTGGCTAGACGTTTTCCTTGAAGTAAGTTTCGGTTTCTCGGTTTCGGTGGATTTGACCAGGTTACTTTCGAGATTTGCCGCTGGAACTCGGCGAACGCTTCTTTTTGGCCTTCCGCTTTCTGGTTCTTCGGGTTGTAATTTTGTTTGCTTTCTTTTAGGCTTTGAATTGGGCTTCTTTTCCTGTTGTGGAAGTGGTTCCCAAAAGCGGGAAGACGACCAACGCTGAAGCCATTTTGGAACTGAATTCGGTTCAGTCGCATCATACTGGATGATTAAAGGCATGACCGTGTGCGATGAAGCAACAAGCTAAAATAAGCAATAAAAGCATATGTCAACTTTTAAGATGATAACAATGATCCTTAATTGTTAGACTAAGAATTTATTACTCTCTCTATTAATAAGGATAAAATTGTCATTTAGGATCTATTTGTTTTAGCTTAATGGGGCTAATAGCTTATTTGATAAGCTATACATGATTGTTTGATAGTGGTTTAATAATATAAGTAGCTTATCAGTAAGCTTCTAGGGGTGAGCTATATGAAGAAAGCTAAGTTTTTCCAAACCTGCCCCTCACAATTAAAAAACACACTCCTTCCGTCTATGAAAAAAAACTCTCAGTCCATTCAAACAGATAAATCCACACAGTCAGCTTTATCCATTCATGAAGACGAAAAACCAGCCAAACAACCCCTTAGATAACTAAAAGTATAATAATTACACATTGATTAGTTAAACGAAAATAGATCAAGCAACGAACGACAAGTACCATAGGTAAAATTAGTGCTAGAAAACTTCGGCAAATGCCAAACACAGCGGTAATATGATAAAATGGCAAATTGCATGAAAATGTAACGTACTTAGGTTTGAATGTTTGATTCGTATTTTGTGAAACATACTTTCAAAACCTTCGTTTTGGCACCTCGGATGTGACATCTCAGACATTTAGGTACCTACTTTACATATGAGAATGCATGAAGATGCAACGTACATTGATCCAATTCCTATTTTGGTGTAACATACTTCGGTCTAAATGTTTGACATATCAAAACTAAGGTACCAAATTGAAGGTTTTGACAGTACGTTACACAAAATAGGAATCATACCAAAGTACGTTACCTGGGAATACTCGACTCGTTAACACCCCTACTCCCACCCCACCCGGACCATACAGGGGTATAAATGATTACAATTTGATAAAACAATGTGACACACACACACACACACACACATATATATATAGTTGAGGATACCTTAGTGCCAAATGCATTTGTTGATAGCTTTTCTGATCGGAGAGATGTGCCAAGCAAATCTGCCCGTTTCTTATCCTACAGAAACAAAATAGAAAAGAGAAACCGAATAAGTTACATATGGAACAACAAGATCCTATCCACCAAACAAATCAGATGAATCAGGATGCACCAATACAAAGTGTCTCGTTCTCGAAGGCTGCGTTTGGTATGCGGACCGGACTTTACAGGCGAGAGTGAAGTAAGCGGGTGAAAGAATTCTGGAAGGTTTTAGTGTTATGAATTGACATAGGAAGTTTAGTAATTTACCAATCTTGTTACGAGTAGTTTTAGTAATTTAAGGGTTGCCATTTGCCAACGTGGCCTAAATCAATCAAGTCCTAAAGAACCACTACCTTAGTTCCATAAGACAACCATAAGAGAAAAATGAATTTGCATAGCATGTGCCCCGGAAGGAAGTTGTCATCTAGAGAGCATGAAACCAAACCAAACCAACCAAGCACGGTACATGTATATCCCTGAATGTGGGGCCGGGGGTGGGGGGATGTACGCAAATCTGACCTCCATTGTGAAGAGGAGAGCAGTTGTTTCCATCAAGACCCCCAGCTTGTGCAAAGTGTGCCGYGGGGGGAGGGGGAGCGTAAAAGAACGAAAAGAAGTTGAAAATSTGGGGCCGGGGGTGGGGGGATGTACGCAAATCTGACCTCCATTGTGAAGAGGAGAGCAGTTGTTTCCATCAAGACCCCCAGCTTGTGCAAAGTGTGCCGTGGGGGGAGGGGGAGCGTAAAAGAACGAAAAGAAGTTGAAAACACGAAAGGCAGTAATGCAAAATATAGAGAACATGATAAGTAGTAAAAATGCAAAAATTTACCACAAGTTCTCCTGGAGCGTATTTTCGAAGCATGTGACTACCATCACCAGAAAGTCTGACTCTCCGGCCACGAGCCAGCGCCTGAAACTCAACAATCGCGCGCATGCATCTCAAAGTAGCTACAGCCTGTTTCCTAACCAAACGACCACGAACTTGCGCTTGAAGCCTTATGATTCCCTTGAGGGCACAAAATGCCCGACGAGCCTTCATATGCAATTATTCATGTTAGTATAAGACAAAAAGACAAGATAAGTTATATAACAAACACAAGCATAAATTCGTGTAAGGCCGAGGAACAAATAGATGACCAACACCTCATCTTAACTGTGTTTCTGTAACAGTTAAAAACACAAATCCAAATGAGTCCTGCCTAACTCCCATGACAAATGATCCAAAACAGGGGGACATGGGTACAAACAAAAGAAGGGTTTGGACGATCGGGTCCTTTGGTTAAATGACCTTCTGACATGTTATGTTCTTTCTTAAATCCATGTGATAGGTTTGAAAATGTAAGTTAGAGATGGAAATTTTACCCGTTGGGGCAGGGATTCCCTGGTTTGACGGGTAACGGGGTGGGGATTTATTTTCATACCTGATGCAGGCTCGGGGTGGGGTCGGAGATGACATTACCCGCCCCTAATTCGACCCCGATTATTTTTTTATTTTTTTAATATATGTATATAGTGTGTGTATAAATATGTATGTATGTATGTATGTATATATGTATATATTTATTATTAAATGCCAAATATACTTGATTTTCAGTAGTAATTAATGTAGTGACTATTCATCATAATTTTAGTTTTAAAATACATTGTTTTTCACTAAACAGGTACCCAATGTGTTCCCTGAACCCGTTTGGTATTCCTTCCCCTCGAACCCGTCAGGTGTTAGTCGTGTCGGGGTCGGGGTTAGGGACGGGGGGATTAAACGGGGGTCAGGGACGGGGGATGCATTACCTGTCAAATACCTACCCCGTTTCCATCCCTAACGTCACTGCTTAATAGAAGAATGTCACCTCCATACACAAGAATTCCTATAAACCTATCAGAAAGTCCTGGATTTAGAAAGTACTACTTAGGAGGTTGTTCAGCTAAATAACGCTTGGAGGACTCCACAAGTTGACGACATTCTTTTAGATTCCTTTGAACCAAGAGAAGATGTTCAATAAGTTCTTCTAAATAGATTGATAACTTAAGATATTAGGAAAAGTGGTGATTATCCCTACGGCAACCCCTGGGGTTTCTTAGAGTCTGTTTCTTAGCAGCTTAATGAGCTTAATAGAACTCAGGGCTTATTTGATCAGCTATACATGATTGTTTGGTAGTGGCTTATTCAATACAAAAAGCCAAGTTTTTTTCCAAATCTGCCCCTACAATTAAAAAACAAGTTTCTTCCATCTACGGAAAAACCCTCACAAACAAAAACCTTCCCAATCTATACAGGCAGATTAATCCATTCAGATAACTTTATCCGTATACGACTTAATGGAAAACCAACCAAACAGCCCCTTACACAATTACTGCTTCTCGAATACAAATGCTACATTATTCCATGGCTCAGCATAATGTAAATCCGCAACTAAATAGAAAACTATTAAGATAAAGCTATTGTAAGTTACGATAAATGTGTTTTTGCAAAAAGCAGCACGAGAATAAAAAATTATGAGCAGCATTTTCCTTAAACAGAAGCATTAAATCAAGCAGAAGAAAATTACCATGTAACCCCTGAAAGCTGCCTGTGCCTTTGTGGCAGCTTGCTCTAGCTTGATTAACTCGTCTTCTTTAGCAGTATTCAGCCCCACGGTACTCCTTACAACTTCAGTTGTATCACTCGTTAGGTTGGCACTGGCGGTCTTCTCTAACTCTGTATGTTCTCCACTGATATGCATAATAGGAGGCACTGGGCTTGAAATCACCATAGAATCATCATCAAAATCCTTTGATGGTGGCTTAGAATTGATGGAGGTCTTCTTGTTTACAATGGCATCCTTCAAGACATAATAAGGCATATGGATCAAACTGTTTAGTTGTCGATCTCTTTTTCTTTGTTTGGAAAATTCAAATGACTGAAACTCGAGGAACAAGACACCCAACCTCGGTTTATCATCTCAAACAGCCACCTCATGAAAAAAAACATTTCCCTTATAGCCACCTCACAATTATTTTTTCCTCACAAAATAGCCAAGAAACTTCAAGGCACTTTTCTTTGCAGTTTCTGACAAAATCTGAAGCATCCAGTGAAAAAGTGGGCCCACCGCAAAAACCAAATAACCGGACGTTGCGGTATCATGGTTCCTTGCGTCTATGGACAAGAAACAAGTCAAAGTCGCAAGCGGCGAAACTGCAAGCCCATTTTGCAGCTTGAGAAACCGCAAGAAAAAGTATCTTTTCCTGACGTGGTTATTTACGATGATAACCCCCGAACCTCCCATCATCACTCTAAGTAGAGAGGTTGTTTCCTTAATTCTAATATCTAGCATTATAAGGAAATTAGTTTTATAGAACGTCAAATATGTCAACCACAAGGGTGGTGCCTGATTGGTTTGAACTTGGCTCCAAAGTCAAAAGTACTAGAAGGTCCCAAGTTCAAATCCAAAGAGAAATAAAAATCCCCTTGTGGCCACGGTGGTTCAAATGCGGTGACTACGAGCTATTTGCAAAGCAGGTGGTCGCCCTGGGATTAGTTGGCTCGCATAGCGGTTTGGATATCCAGGTTAATCAAATATATATATATATATATATATATGTGTGTGTGTGTGTGTGTGTACATCTCCTAATATAACATTCTATAGGACTTAAAGTTCATACCATCAAACAATTGTGCATCTAAAAGTGTTGCAATAAATAACCAATATGAGAAAATTCAACAAGCACAACAAAATACAAGTGATGGATCTAAAAAGCCATTCCTTACTTTAGAGAGATTAGATTTCGATGACTTTTTCCCAAAAAGCACAGTCTTGATCCACTTTCCTGGAGACTTCCCCATTGTCAATAGATGCCTGTTAGAACTGGTTCAACCTTCAAGCCTCTGCATATTCGAAAATGAAGTTTCAGAGAAGCGTAGCAATCAATTGAGTAGAAATTGAAGCAATGTATCTAAAAATCTATTCAAAACTTGATTAGTGGAAACAAAAATTACGTTACCAGTTAGGTTATGAACACAAAATGAGCTTCAGATCTGCAAATGTACCTGAAATGAAATGATTCTCAGAACCGTAAGTTGCCAATCGCCAAAAAACACAAGGAAAAATTCAATCAGAGGTAATAAACAAACACGATTAGAAAAACTGATTAAATGTTCAAATCGAAGGTGACGAACATTGATTGAGATATGATACCTTGAGTTCGATATGTGTGTGTGTGTGTGTTGTATGTATAAAATGGGGTTCAACTAGCAGTCGCTTTTGGTAAAGGTGTTGGGAGGAGCAGTTTAGAAGGCATTAGAAAACAAGAAGGGCACGATGATCCCGGATGAAATGGTGTCGTTTATTGGCAGAGGACTCCTTCCAGTTCCACATTTGTCCTTTACTTTCCGTTTGGTCAATGATACTCCTCCTCTTGTAGAAAACAAATTCCATTTGAAATTTTTATATCATTTTATATATACATACATGTATATGTGTGTATATATATATATAGGGGTCTATTCAAGGGAGAACTGAGTTGTTTGTGGTAACTGTGAGAACCAATACTAACCACAAATCAATAGATAAATTAGGAAATTTATAAATTTGGTAATTTTAAATTAAAATCTTAATGCAAGGATATTTTTGGTATTTTAA